CCTGCATGCCCTGCACCCCTGCCCTGCACGCCCTGCACCCCCGCCCTGCACCTCCGCCCTGCACCCCCGCCCTGCACCCCTGCCCTGCACACCCCGCTGCGTCCTCCTTCGCTGGGCTACAGAGTCCTCAGCAGCGGTGCGAGGGGCGTGCAGTAGGTGGCCTGGCCTCCTCCCGGCTCCGCTCTGACCCTGGAGCTCCCTGACCCTGGCTACCACCAGCGCTGGCCATCTTGTGACTCATGCTTTGTCCTATTTGCTTTCAGGAATTGTGTCCCAGCCCCCAGTTTATCGTGGGCGGAGCCACACGCACAGACATCTGTCAGGGGAGTCTAGGTGAGTAACCGACTATTTGGGGCAAGGGCGGCTATGTGTGTAACGAGTAAAGGGACTTGACATCACATCTGCGGTGTTTTGTGTGGGTCTGTGCTCCTTGCATGGGTCTGTGATGCTAGAACTGTGGCTCCTCTGGGGAGATCTCTGCAGGCCACCAAACCCCTTCCACACAGGAGTAACGGGCCAGGATTGTAGGCACATGTGGACAGTGGGCTGTGTGGTGCTTTGACAGTCGTTGCCTGTAAGTGGGCACAATTCGCCGGATGGAGTGGCCATGTCCACATGACTGTGGGCTGTCCCAGCAGATGCTTTAAAATGAGTGAGAAAACAAGAATCCCATCTTCCAGCCGAGCTCTCTTTCAGAGCCGGGCACCCCCTCCCGGGACGGCGGCAAAACCAGACTTGGAGATGCAGGTACCTGGGAAACAGTCTTACCTGTGAAGATCAGCAGAGCAAACAGAAGATCCGCATCCACACAGACCCGAAACCCCTTTCCTTTCAGGAAGGTGCCCTCCTTCCTTTTCCTTCTCTTCAGCCTGCTGGAACCCTTTATGAATCTGAAATTCACGGGCATTTAATTTCAAATGCTTCCCACGTCCTGGCCTTAAGGAGTGTAGCTAGCCGACACGCCCTCAGCCAGAGCTCGAGGAGTGGGAGTGCAGAGCCGCAGGAATGGTCCAGGCGTCCCTCACGGGCGTGCACCCACTGCCCAGAGCCGCGGCCTCTGTGCCCCAAGCCCTTGTGCCATTCGAGCCGTTTGTGCGGTGGCTCAGGGTGGGGGGAGTGGGGGCAGTGTCCTGCCCCTTCTCCTTCTGCCTTTTTACTTGGAGCTCAGTGTTTAACCTAATTAGCACGTGTCTCTGGAAACAGAGCTCTGAATGTACGCCTTTAACAGCTTCTCGTTACAGATGTTTTAACTTCAGAAAAGCTATTTAGTAAGTGCCTTTTAATTGTCGGCTTGAGTAGAGGTTCCCTTGAATAGTTTTGAGCAAGTAGAGAAGTGGGCTTCCGGAGGAGGCCTGGGCGTTGCCGTGGCGAGTGCGTGCAGCCTGCTGGGCACAAATGGACCCAACCGCTCTCTGAATCCAGCTCGTGGGAAGGAAGTGGGGCCGCCAGCAGGTGCCCCGAGGTGCGCCCAGTGCGCGGTGGCTTTGCGTGAACGGAGCAGAAGGGGGCTGAGGGCCTGGAGCGAGGCTCAGCAGGTGGAAAGGTGGCTGCCCCTGGGTGCGGGGGGGCCGAGTCAAAGCAGCCGAGAGCCAGCCGGGCCGCCCCACGCGGTGGGCGGAGGCTCCCCATTAGAGAGCGGTGCCAGGTGCCGCTCCGGGAGCGGGCGCACCGCCAACAACATGTGTTCAGAACTTTAGAGTCTGACACCACCCAGTAGGGTCTACTCTGGGTTTAAAACATTTTTATTACTCTTGCTTACAGTTATTTTATTACCATTTTGAATACACGGGTTAAAACACTCGGAAGTTGTGCCGTGACGAGTCCTCTTCCCGCCTCTCTCCTCCCGTGCTCGCTGCCCTGTGACCGTTTTCTGTTCTTCCAGCAAATTCAAGCCAATCCAAATTCTTGTTTTTTTCAATGCTTTCTTGCATTGGAGGTAGCAGACTGTGGACGCTGCTGGGCACCTGTTTGTTCTTATTCCTCTTAACAAAGACGTGTCTCTGTGTCTCATGGGTGGAGCCTGGGCAGAGGGCAGAGGGGTGTCCGAGGGATGGAGGCTGGCCACCGGGGAGGCCGGGGCTGTGGTGCAGGGCCCTGGGAACCCAGGCCAGCTGCTGTCTCCAGGGTCAGAAATGTCTAGCTCTGCCTCTGCAGGGGTGCCGGCAGGGGTGAGGGCTGGCGCTGGCACGGTTTGGAGGGAAGGAAGAGTGGTATAACTACGGGGCTCGAGGGCCTGTAGGAGGTCAGGAGGTTACCCTGGCATGGAGCGGGTGGAGGCCAGGGGTGCTGCTGAACATCCCACAACGCTTGGGACAGCCCAGCATCATGCGGCTTGAGCATCAGCAGGTTTGAGAGATCCTGTTGTAGCTGGACCCACTCACGTCCCAGGGGCCCGAGGGCTAAGGCAGTAAGAAGCTCTAGGTCCAAATCTGGTTCTGGTCTTACCGGCTGTTTTCTCTCCTGCTTGGCGCAATTGATTGCACAACGGCTAAGCCCTAAGATCTTCTCACTAGTCGTCAAGATATGAGTTTCCCAATCCCTCCGACACTTTCATACGGACGAGGTTTCCTTCACTTGGCACTGCAGGCCGGGGTCCGTGAGACGTCTGTGGCCCAACGCCCGCCTCCTCAGCGTAGCCAGCTAGCTGGGGGTGTCGACAAAGCCAGAGGACCCACAAGTGCGTGTGTTTTAACCGCGGCCAGAGGCAGGATGAGGCCAGAGGCAGGATGATCCGGGAGGCTGGAAGGCGCGCTGTGGGGGTGGGGAGTAGGCGGGGAGGCCCCTGGGATGGCTTGGTGTGATGTCAGAGCTGAACGGCGCCTGCTTGTGAACTCTGAGCCGGCAGAGGAGGCCTCCTCCGCCATCAAATGCCGAAGGTGGATTTTTACAAACAAGCCCATGTGAGCAGGCCAGCATCTGCATCAGGGTCAGATGTGAGGTCAGTCGGCACAGCCTTGCTTGCTCCCCTGGTTTGTTCTCTGCCTGCCGCCCAACTCCCGGTGACTGTGAGGGGGAGGGAAACGCAAGCCAGCTGATCACAGGTGTTTCCACCTGTCTCCGAAAGGTTCCCATCTCTTTTGGATAAACGTTCCTCATCCAATCGCCTTTTTTGGGTGGTTTCTTGCTTCTTTAAGGCCGGCCCATCTCCAGCCTCCCCACGACGGCGCCCAGATGTGAGGAAGGCCAGAAAACCCCTGGGTGACCCCAGAGGGTGTCCTGGATCCCACTCAGTTCTGACGCACTGTCTGCCCAGACAGGGTGAGAGCCCCACAGGCTAGGGGCTCAGCCCCACGAGACTGTCCCCCCACACCTCAGACCTCAGGCTCCTGTTCCCATTGTCACCTGGGCTTCTGACCCATCAGCTGTAGACGGAGGGCCCCCAGAGCTCAGAGCATGGGTTCCTATAAGAGATACAGCTCAGGAACTGCCAGATGGAGGAGAGGCATGGGGTGAGGTCTGGGGAAGGGGCTTCCATGCTCCCTTCGGGGCGCTGATCTCCCTAAATCTGCACACGTGCACCAGGCTGGAAGCCTCTGGGTATTTATGGAGGCTTCATGACAGAGGCCTGATAGAGGAAATCACTGGTTCTGGTGATGGGCTCCCGGGTCAGGGGGTGGGGGTGGCTCTGAAAGCTCCAGCCCACTCATCCTGGGGTTGGTTCCCCTGGCAACCAGTTGGGTCACCTAGGGGCTTTCCAAAGCCACCTCGTTAACATAACAAAAGAACTGTGCTTTCTCCCACTGCATAGAAAGCAACCTAGGGTTTCAGGAGCTCTGAGCCCAGAAACAGGTCTAAGACCCAGCCTGCATTTGTTATTATAAATCACAGCGTCCCGGGCTGGCTGGTGCTGGTGCCTGAGCTGTCCCCGGGGTCCTGGCTGGCCCCCAGGGGGGTGCGACTGTGCAGGGTCAGGCCCATTCTCCCCCCCGGGGGGCTCCCAGGTCCTACCCTGAAGCCACCACAGCTCCGGGTGGGATGGACCTGCCCGGTTCTCCCTGTCCCGGGAGGCTGCCATCTCCGCTCCTCTCTGCCTCCAGGCCCTGTGCCGCCACCCTCTTTGCTGCTGCCAGTCATCCTGCTCCCGGGGTCCCCGAGAATGCCCTCTGCTTTGGCTTCATCTTCACCCTATCTGCGGCTTTACTGTTCTTCCTGCTCCTGCCACTCATCAGCCTCACGAAGGGACTACTGCAGAAGTCCCAGCACCTGACCTCTTCTCTGTCCTTGCTCCCCTCCCCTGTCCTTCTGCCGGTGGCCCAGGGGCAACTCTACTTCTCTTTGCTGTTTGGGAAGTGCCCATAAGCTGGAGCCTGAGCTCTTGCTACCTATGGTTTATAATAACATTAGGTGTTCAGACCTAAAGGGAATTTCTGATTTAGCCCTTTCTATTCTAACAAAGCCTGACTCAGGATGACTGTCTCTTGGTGGACTTAAAACCAGAGTCCCTCATTGTTAGGGTTGGGGTCTGTTTACTGGAAGCCCCGAGGCTTATGGGTGGAGGGGGTGGAGGGCTCTAGGGGATCATTATTTAAGTGGAATTAAAAAATCACTTTTTTGTTTTAATAACTATTAAACCCGTTGTATGTATAACCTGAGTAAGGAGTAGAAAAAACAAAGCTCAGGTGGTTCCCCGACTTCCCCTGAGGTCAGTGACCCAGGACCCCCCCATTCTAGCTCTGTGGTTAGCCCAAACTCTAACCCATGGCCAGATCTTGCTGGAAGGTGGCTGCAAGGAGGGACTTGTCCATCAAAATTTTTCCCAGTTTTCCACCCACCTTATTCTTGGCTGCTTCTGGAAATTAAAACTATGGTCTAAGGTCAAAGCCGCGTCCCAACGGAGAAGAACCCAGCGAACGTGCCACAGGCTTCCAGGCAGGTCCCCAGACAAGTTCCTGAAATGTTCTGAGCAGAATAGATGTCCATCCTCCCAAGAGGACTCTTTGAAGGGGCACTGCTGACTTGGATGTATTCCTGTCCCGATAATCCTCACACACCTGACACAGCCCCTGGCAGGAATCCAAACCCCTGCGTAGCCGCTGCCCCTGCTCAGAGCCCTGCACTTGCCGCGGGTGCCAGAAGGACCTGCGAGATGTCACGAGTGAGGCAGATGAAAAGAAAATTAAGCTCCTCCAGCTGGGCAGCCCCGTTTGATGTCAGCAACTGAGGGTTGCGTAGTTTCCGTGCCTTGAATTGTAATGTGTGAGGAGTGCTCTAGGTGGGCTGATGGAGGCACTGAGCCAGGAGCACGAATGTCAGAGGGGCCACGAGGACGCGTGTGTCACGGGGGGCTGCGGGGCGGTCACCCTGTCAGCTCCCCTGGGACCTGTGCTGGGAGTCTCCCTCATCATCTCCCCCATTCCCAGATGCTGGCGGGGGTGGGAACCGTCAGGCCTAGTGCATGTCTTCTTGGGTCCCCTGTCCCCACAGACCAGGGAGACTCAGGAGCAAACAGGCAGGGGTCACTGGGGGCTTGCCTAAGAACAAACTGTAATCCATCGAGTCATTCAGACACTTGCTGTTCATCAAGTGTTTATTGGGCCCCTACTGTGTGTCAGCCGCCTGCTGGGGATGCCAGGAATCCACAACCCGGCTGGCTGGAGGGCCCCAGGGAAGGTGCTGGGGGGCCCTGGGAGGGCACTGGAACCCTGGGAGGTCACTGGGGCCTTAGGAGGTCGCTGGGGTCCTGGGAGGGCGCTGGAACCCTGAGGAGGGTACTGGGGCCCAGGGAGGGCACTGGAACCCCAGGAGGTCACTGGAGTGCCCCAGGAAGTCACTGGGGCCCTGGGAGGGTGCTGGGGGCCCCCGGAGGGCGCTGGAGCCCTGGGAGATCACTGGAGTGCTCCGGGAGGGCGCTGGAATCCTGGGAGGTTGCTGGGGCCCCAGGAGGGCGCTGGGCCCCTGGGGAGGGTGCTGGGGGGCTCCGGGAGGGTGCTGGGCCCCTGGGGAGGGTGCTGGGGGGCCCCGGGAGGGCGCTGGGGCTCCGGGAGGGTGCTGGGCCCCCGGGGGGGGGCTCTGGGGGGCTCCGGGAGGGCGCTGGGGCTCCGGGAGGGCACTGGAACCGTGGGAGGTCACGGGGCCCTGGGAGGGAGGCGGGGTCGCCGCAGCTCCACCGAGTAGCTGATGTGCAAGCAGGTGCTGTGACCCGAGGTGGCTTGTGATCGGTGCGCAGAGCTTAGATTCAGTCTTCAGGAAACAGAAACAGAGTGACTCGTGGCCGGAGAGAAGGGGAGGGGAGAGGCCACAGGTGGCAGGGCCATGAGGACTTGTCAGGGGAGGGAACAAAGCAGCCCCGCCCGGCGGGAAAGGCCAGGGCAGGCGCATCTGAGTTTTCCTGGAGGGCAGGTTCTTGGTGGGCGCAACGGAGGAAAGCTGGACACGTGGGTGGGATCTGTATCGTCCTCTGTCCTTGCATCCTCCACCCCAGCCATCGATGGTTAGAGGTGAAACGGTTAGTGTCCGGGGACGAAGGGGGGAGCAGGGAACTTCCCGTCGGGAGGACAGGACTTGGAGTGAAGCAGCGGGAGACGCCGTGACCTTCAGACACGGGAGGACGCGGTGCATCTGATGCAGGAGGGCAGGGGTGACACAGACTGGGCTGAGCGGGACGCTGAGGTCAGACAGGGCAGGGACGTGCGCCCGCCTGACCAGTGTGTCCCTGTGACCCGGTGCAGGTGACTGCTGGCTGCTGGCCGCCCTGGCCTCCCTGACCTTGAATGGAGAGCTGTTTCGCCGCGTGGTCCCGGGGGGCCAGGATTTCCAGCAGAACTATGCGGGGATCTTCCGTTTTCAGGTACTGTGCTCATGGCCCTGGACACCACGGGTGACCCTGCGGCTACATGGGGTTCGGGATGCAGTCAAAAATCTGTGTGTCATTTTGGACTCCCCCAAATCTTCACCCTTGATGGCCAGCAGTTGACCTGAAGCCTTCCCGAGAATACAGTCGACCCACACATGTTTCGTATGTCAAGTGTATTATATACTGTGTTCTTAGCATAGAGTAAGTCAGAGAAAAGAAAATGTCGGTAAGAAATCATAAGGAAGAGGACACACGTTTCAGGACTGTGCTCTACTTATCAGCCAGCCCTCGCTGTTCAGAACATGTCGTTCGGGGGTTCTTCCCATGCCCTTGGGTCCCACCCCACATCCCCGAACCAGAGACCCAGCAGCCCTCGTCCAGCGGTCCCCGCAGGGGAGCCGGACGCTCCCCTGGTCTGAGAACTGCTGCTCCCACGCACCCTGCCCTCCCCGGCCCTGCGGCCTTGACGAGGAAAGGGGTCCCGAGGTTCCGAGGTCCCGAGGCATGGGACCCACGCGGGCGCGTCTGCTCCTCACTGACACGCCGAACGCCACGTGTCCTGTGTTCTCTGGCCTCTCCTGTGAGCGTGAACAGAAGACGCAGAGCCTACTCTCGGGGGGCTCGGAGCTCGTCCCTCGGCACAGGGTGCTGTCTGAGGGGCCTCTGCCCCGTGTCCCCTGCCCCGCAGTTCTGGAAGTACGGCGAGTGGGTGGAGGTGGTCGTGGACGACAGGCTGCCCACCAAGGATGGGGAGCTACTCTTCCTGCACTCAGAGACGGGCAGCGAGTTCTGGGGAGCGCTGCTGGAGAAGGCCTATGCCAAGTGAGTACGCAGTTCGGGGCTGGGAGACCCCCGTGTCTCCGGAGGACTGCACCCACCCCGCCCCGAACTCGGGGTGCCGTGCCGAGTCCTCCCCAGCACCTGGACGCTGGGGCCAGGAGCTCTCGGCTCAGCGCTGCCCCCATGAGGGTGTGGATTGGGGGCGGGGGCAAGATCTGCAGAGTCTTGGTGCCTCCACCTTCTCCTTCAAACTCCAAGGTCAGTTCCTAGGTCAAAGTGAATTTATTAAAGAATGATGAAGAGGAAGGGACAGGTGCACTTTGATGCCAGTCCTCACCCCCCTTCCTGCTGGCATTCCATGTGGGAACCTTCTTTGTGGGTTCTCCTGATGCATGTCACTTACCCTGTCCTGCAACCCCATTCCTTTCCAGCCCTCTTCCCAGAGCAAGCCCCTGGGGCTCTCTCCCCCAACCCCTGCCCAGGCTCCCAACCCCCAGGAACCCAGGAACCCAGGGTTGGTGCTGGGAAAGCTGCACTTTGCTTCTTAAAAGGCGGGGGGTGGGGGGTGGTGGTGGTGTGGCTTGGTGGGAGGTGGCCCAAGATTCGTTCCTCCAAACCGCGGCCGGGGCTCCCTGCTGACCCAACACAAAATTGTCTTCTGGTCCACTCTGCATCCTAGCGCCAGCCCACGCAGGCCCCTCACTTGTGGATGATGTACCTTTTCTTTCTTTCCCCACAGGCTCAACGGCTCCTATGAGGCTCTCACTGGAGGGTCCACGGTGGAGGGATTTGAGGATCTCACCGGTGGCATCTCTGAATTTTATGATCTGAAGAATCCCCCAGCCCACCTGTTTCAGATCATCCAGAAGGCCCTCCGTGCGGGGTCCCTGCTGGCCTGCTCCATTGATGTGAGTCTTTCTGCTCCCCCCTGAGTGGAGGGGAAGGGGCCAGAGCAGCGTCCGGGGCTGAACGGGCAAGTCTGGGGATGTACTGGTCCCAGACCTTATTAGTGGCTAGGAACTGGGGTGCACCGTGGGAGCCCCGGTCTGTAGTACTAGGGAATGGCCCTGAGAACGGAGCCCTGATCCCTGGATCCCGTGTCCTACCTTCGCTGCCCCCCCTTTCGTGGGGCTTTAGGAAGCAGATACACCAGGGGCATACTTGATGGACTTTGAGATCCCTGAGGAGAAGGGGAGTGGGTCTGGAATGAGGGTGTGTGCGCTGCCTGGGGGGCTGGCTATCTGGGCCCTGGGGCGCAGGGACACTGGAGCTGGTCTGTTGTCCCTGCCCCTGTCTGTCCCTGACCTGGTGACCTCGGACACGTGAACCGCACGTCTCTGCCAAATCTCAGCCCAAGTGTGTGTTTGATGGGGAGACGATACGGGGCCCAGAGAGGGGGCCTGTGGAAGAGGAAGAGGGGAGACACTGGAGCAGCAGATTGGCCCAGAGCCGGTGTCCTGGATAATTGGTCTTCTTCAGGCGGCATGGGGTCACTCGGGGAGAGCAGGTGACCTCCCAGTTTCTGGTGGCATTTAAAGCCTGTAAGCCGTACTCCGGTCCCCAGAGCCACATGGCGCCGGCCTGGAGCTGCAGGCCTGCTCAGAGGTCACCGCCTGCTCCCCGAGGTCACCACCGCAGCTGCATCCCAGCGCCGCCCGGCGCCGGCTCCGATTGGGTCAGGGTCAGGGTCAAGGTCGGCCACCATCTGTGGACTTCCTTCCCAATCAGGTCTCCAGTGCAGCTGAAGCAGGAGCAGAGGTGACCACCTGCCAGAAGCTGGTGAAGAGCCACGCTTACTCTGTCACTGGGGCCCAAGAGGTAAAAGCTGGCCGGGGAGGTGAGGGGAGCAGGTGGTGATGCTGCATGTGTCCAGGTCGCCAGGGAGAGCCTCCCCCCACCGAGGTCCCTCTCTGGCTGCCCGGACGCTACCCGTGCATGGGCCGCTCTTGCTCACGGGCCCTTCGGACTCTTCCCCACTCGGGGACGGATCACATGGCCGGTGTGAGTGACAGCTCCATGGGCTCTAGCGACAGGCAGATGAGATGTGGCTGGAGGCGGGAGGACGGTTTTGGAGAAAGTTGCAGAGATGATCCGTTAGATTCCATAGGCGGTCTAAGAAGTGTGTGTGCACAGGCGCAGTGGTTGAGACCAGTGGGACCCCAAAGGGGGTGAAGGCAGTGGTGTCGGCTCCCTCAGGATGGGGCACAGCGGCGGGAAGGAGCGGCCCTTTTCCTTCCTCGCCAACCCAAGCAGAAAGCATGGGCTGCAGTTTTCACTGTGTTTGTTTACTATATTCTGCCCACTTGGAAAAAGCGTTGGCAGTGGCTCACAGTGAAGAGTGCAGACACAACCAAACCACGAAGCTGAAATAACCAGACAATCCAGGCGAAAGGCATGGCTGCCCTTGAGAAATGAACTTTGCTCTGAGCTTCCCGATGGCCAAGGCAAAAGGGAAATGCGATGAGATCTCAAGTTTTTGTTGTGTATCAAAACTGCACGGGTGCTTGTGTTTTGAAAACACACTCTTTAGTAAAGTCGTTCCCAAGTAGAGATTGAGCATGCGTGTGTAAGCATGGGCCGGGGCATGATGGAGGACACAAAGGGAAGTAGGACACAGAAGACCTAATGTTCATTGTGTCTGTGTGTGTGTGCGAAATGCGAGCGTGGGGGCTCTGGTGAGTGTTCAGCAAGTGGCCAGGGAAGGCAGTAAGTATGGGTTTGGTTCCAAGTATAGGCTCTGCAGACACACTGCCTGGGGGCCCATCCTCCGTCCACCACGTTCTGACCTAGGGTGACGTAATGCCCTGAGTCTAGGATTTCTGAGCTGTAAGAAAGATGGTAACAGCACCCAGCTCCTAGGACCGCCCTGAGGTCTCGATGTGGTGACAGTGTGTTTGAAAGGCTTAGCGCCATGCCTCGTCCAGAGCGCATCCTCGCTGAAAGCTGACCACTGTGCTCTGCGCATTTACTGTCCTTTGGTCTGGTGGATTAAGAGTCAGTCTTAGTCAACTACAAAATCGAAATGCAAGTTAAAGCCAACACAAACTTGTTTGTGAGCCAGATGCATGGTTTATTCAACCAAATTGTGGAAAATAGAGCAGTTGGCCATGTCTGGAAAGCATGCATTAAAACAGGAGTGTGGTTGTTTGGGGACATTTGGAAAGTGCGAGTCCTCAGGGGGCAGACGCGGGCGGGGGTGCAGATGTGGGCGGGAGGCAGGCGTGGGGCAGACACAGGGCAGATGCAGGTGAGGGCAGACGTGGGTGGGGGGCAGGCGTGGGCAGACG